TGTTTGTGTTTTGTTTTGGATTTCTGTTGTACTAAATACTATACTTATAAATAAATATATATTTTCAAAAAAAAATGATCACAGCTCTGGAGATGTAACCAAAGAGTATCCCGAAAATGTATGTACGGTAAAAATGTGCGCCTATGGTGCACATCAGGGCACCTTCCGAAAGCGGCAAGTGCGCCTTATCTTTGTATTTCTGTGCATCGGGAGTAAAATAGAAAATTGTAATAACAGAAGATGTGTTTGTTTTGGATTTCTGTTGTACTAAATATTATATTTAGGAATAAATATATATTTTTTTAAAAATTAGAATATCTGGAGAAATATATTTTTGTCTACATTAAGCGTTGAGTAGAGCTCCGAGACACTACACCGCGTGAAGAGCGCTATATAAATCCAAGTTGTTGTTGGATTATCCAACAGCTAAAGTTGAACTCAGTATGGAGTTCCCTCCACCCTGCATTCATCTCTGAAGAACACCTCTTCTGCACCAGCCTTTTGTAAGTTATTTCCCTTTCCTTTTGGTGGTTTGTGCAACGCTTGACTCCTAAACCACCGCTGAAGCAGCTTGCAGCAGATTGTAGCTCAATTAATTAATCATTGAATTCAAAGATAGTTCTCTCCCTCCTATCTTGATCTTCTAACTTCCAGAATCCCATATTCTCTTCCTTGCCCTCAAAATCCAGCAGAGCCGTCACTATCCCTAAACTGATTAATCACCTTTCTGAACACATATTGACCCTGTCCCCATTTACATCTGTCAATCGAGACAGAATTCACTTTGCTTCCGAGTGTTCATTGTCCACAAATAGCAGCTGACCCCTACTTTACACTTAACCACAAAAGCACAACCAAGGTCGATAACTTGCTGTGCACAGAACTACAAGCACAATTTGGGGTCCCGTTACCCTGAGATGCAACGTTCTGGGGCTCATATGTTGTACCATGATGTTGCTGTGACATTTCCATTGCCCAAGATCCTCTGTCTTCCCATTTCGCAGAACCATTTCTCTCCAATCGCACTTTGAGACAATGAGATGGTATCTTACATACAATAATTGCTAATCAACTGCTCACATCATCAGCAGCATCCGTCAAACTTGGAGAGCAGATCAAGTGAGCACAAAATATTGCAATGACACTTCACTGTTGTATTTAACAAACTAGGTAACAACCTGCGAAACGGATGGTGAGTCCTAACAATTAGCCTCGGTGCCAGCATTTCGACTCTCGATTGTTATTCAGGTCCCCCCCACCTGCACACTCACTCACTAGAAAGTGCGTGCGTGGGTGTGGTGCTTGGGTATGAACTGAATTGGCTTTGGCCAATTATTTCCCATCCCTGTGGTATACAGCCAACACTCGCTGCCTGGGCTCATTTGTGAAAAACGGTTACAGGAGTTGATGCTAAGGATACGCAAAGCAGCCTGTGTCCACGCCTTATTATTATTACTACTACAAAAACGGAATTGGTCATTCGTTTCATGGCTATTTGTGGGACACTGCTGTGCACAACTGGGCTGCTACGTTTTGCCTAGAAAAACACAGTCACGCCACTGCACCTTAAATCCTGTGAAGTGCTTTGGGACGTCCTCCCGAGGTGCGTGAAAGCCAGGTTCTACATCAAATGCAACGATTATTATTATTATTATTAACTCCATCGTTACGCCCAACAGAACAGCCCAGCAAGGTGTGTGAGAGGAAAGATAAGCTGAAAGAAAATAATAACTTCAGCTTTGTGTGCGTGTGTGTATGTGTGGCTTCACCTGGGGTTCCCAAACCGCCACCCATTAGTGAAGGACTGTCAAGCGCTCTGGGACGCTACCCTGCGCGAGGAACGCTGTAGTTGTTGAGGGACCCAGTGACATGGGGGGGGAAGAGGAGAGGATATGTGTTTGTGGAAGGGGCGAGGGTTAGGGTTAGGGTGTGAGTGCGTGTGGAGGGAGGGGCAGTATGTGTGGAGGGGGGAGGAGGAGTGGGGGCGTGTGTGGAGGGGTGGGAGGGTCTGAGTGTGTGTGGGTAAGGAGGAAGATGATGGTGAATGTGTGTGGGGGGGGAAGAGGAAGATGATGGTGTGAGTGTGTGTGGAGGGGGGGAGAGGAAGATGATGGTGTGAGTGTGTGTGGAGGGGAGGGGGGGAGAGGAAGATGATGGTGTGAGTGTGTGTGGAGGGAGGGGGGAGAGGAAGATGATGGTGAGTGTGTGTGGAGGGGAGGGGGGGGAGGAAGATGATGGTGTGAGTGTGTGTGGAGGGGAGGGAGGGGGAGAGGAAGATGATGGTGTGAGTGTGTGTGGAAGGGAGGGGGGGGGAGAGGAAGATGATGGTGTGAGTGTGTGTGGAGGGAAGGGGGGAGAGGAAGATGATGGTGTGAGTGTGTGTGGAGGGAAGGGGGGAGAGGAAGATGATGGTGTGAGTGTGTGTGGAGGGGAGGAGAGGAAGATGATGGTGAGTGTGTGTGGAGGGGAGGGGGGGAGAGGAAGATGATGGTGTGAGTGTGTGTGGAGGGGAGAGGAAGATGATGGTGTGAGTGTGTGTGGAGGGGAGGAGAGGAAGATGATGGTGAGTGTGTGTGGAGGGAGGGGGGGAGAGGAAGATGATGGTGTGAGTGTGTGTGGAGGGAGGGGGGGAGAGGAAGATGATGGTGGGTGTGTGTGGAGGGGAGGGGGGAGAGGAAGATGATGGTGTGAGTGTGTGTGAGGGGAGGGGGGAGAGGAAGATGATGGTGTGAGTGTGTGTGAGGGGAGGGAGAGGAAGATGATGGTGTGAGTGTGTGGAGGGAGGGGGGAGAGGAAGATGATGGTGTGAGTGTGGTGAGGGGAGGGGGAGAGGAAGATGATGGTGTGAGTGTGTGTGGAGGGGAGAGGAAGATGATGGTGTGAGTGTGTGTGGAGGGGAGAGGAAGATGATGGTGTGAGTGTGTGTGGAGGGGAGAGGAAGATGATGGTGTGAGTGTGCCCGCGCGTCCACTTCCGGGGGTCACGGGCTTTTCACTTGTGGAGGGGAGAGGAAGATGATGGTGTGATGGTGTGA